CCCGTGCAGCCCGTGCACCCCTGCACCCATGCGCCCCATGCACCCCATGCACCCATGCACCCATCCACCCATGCACCCATCCACCCCGTGCAACCCATGCACCCATGCACCCATGCACCCCATGCACCCCGTGCACCCCATGCACCCCATGCACCCCATGCACCCATGCACCCATCACCCATGCACCCATGCACCCATGCACCCATGCACCCATTCACCCATTCACCCTTGCACCCCATGCAACCCATGCACCCATGCACCCCGTGCACCCCATGCACCTCGTGCACCCATGCACCCCATGCGCCCTGTGCATCCGGTGCACCCCATGCACCCCATGCACCCATGCACCCATGCACCTCATTCACCCCATGCACCCATGCACCCATGCACCCCATGCACCCCATGCACCCCGTGCACCCTATGCACCCTATGCACCCATGCACCCATGCACCCATGCACCCATGCACCCCATGCACCGTATCCACCCCGTGCACCCCATGCACCCATGCACCCCATGCACCCATGCACCCATGCACCCATGCACCCTATCCACCCCGTGCACCCCATGCATCCCATGCACCCATGAACCCATGCACCCTATCCACCCCATGCACCCCATGCACCCCATGCACCCATGCACCCATGCACCCCATGCACCCCGTCCACCCCGTGCACCCCATGCATCTTATGCACCCATGAACCCATGCACCCGTGCACCCATGCACCCGTGCACCTATGCGACGCGTGACGCGAGCCATGCGAATGCGGCGATGGACTCCTATGGCCGTCGCTCATTTATTTCAAATCCTTGCGCTTTTCCTGGGTACGTGGATTGGGCGACAACCACTCGAATAGCTGTGAGAAGTATTTGCGCATTATTGGGGAGCCTTTGACAATCTCCAGCCATTCAGGAGGGGCTATTTGAGCTATTGCGACTTGTGCAAGTGTTTACGACTCGCTTTGCGAGACATGAAACAGTTTTGCGAAGGGCCTTTTTCCTCCATCCGAACCAAACATACTGACGCAAGCTGCTGTGACACGTACAGATCTCGACAACTCCCAGCACTACTCGTTTCCAATTAGCCACCTTCTCTTCACTCTAGCTGTGATGTGTTTACATGCTCCGCAAATTCCCACGCATGCAGATTTGTGTGTCGCATGGAACACCAGATTGGTGGGAAAACCATAGTGGTACATGTAGTTTGAGTGTATGCCATCCGTTATCCAAAGCCAAATCTGGTGTTTGCAACAATCCAGGACTGCAACTCTCTCTAAGCACATCACACAAGTGCAATATGGACTTCAACAAAACGCCTACACTCCTTGTGCATACACAGTACCCGTTTCTACAAAGTTCCCCTCTGGCTCGCAAACCTCTGCTGAGTCTACGCGCCTAGCTTCTCGGCCGTTCAGCCTTCCAGATTTCTCCCTTTTAGCCTGCCTGCGCAGCCACGAGGCTCACGACTCACCTCATCTGCTGCTTGTAGAGCTGCTCGATGCTGCTCTTGATATTTGCCCTTGTTTCCTTACTCGTCTGCTGGTGTGACCTTCGTCCTGTAACACTCGAACCTGAGACAGTGGTCAGCCTCTCAGCCTCTCAGCCTCTCAGCCTCTCAGCCTCTCAGCCTCTCAGCCTCTCAGCGTGTCAGCCTCTCTGCATGGCCACGAGGTCCACAACCCGCCTGGCCTTCTGCTTGTACAACCGCCCGACCCGATGCTGCTCGTGATCTTGCCCCTCGTCGCATCACTCAGCTTCTTGGGCCACGCTCTCCCCCATAACACTCGGACGTGCACCAGCAATCAGCCTGTCAGCCTGCCAGCCTCTCAGCCTCTCAGCCTGTCTGAGCGGCCATGAGGTCAACCACTCGCCGCGCCTGCTGCTTGTAGAATCTGCCGATGCTGCTCTTGATCTTGGCCCTCGTGGCCTCACTCAGCTCCTTGTGCCACACTATCACCACGCGCACATGCAGCACCGATCTCACCCTCTCGTCCCGCAGCACCGCCTCCTGCAAACCCCCTGCTGTTACTGCCCCAATTCCTCCTCCTCCTGCTGCTGCCCCTGCTACTGCTGCTGCTCCTGCCCCTGCTGTTCCTCTCTCCCCATCCCCTCCTCTGTCGCCCGCTGCCATGCTGCTTCCGCCAACCCCTCTTCCTTTCAGCTTGAGCGCTCCTGCGGCGGCAACCAGTGCCGAGGCCACAGCGGTTGCAGCACCGGCAGCGCTTGAAGCGGCGTCTGCAGCTGCGCTGCCTGCTGCTGCAGCAGCAATTGACACCACACCTCCTGCGCTGTTCTCGCCTGCTGCCCCACCGGCTGCTGCGCCGGCTGCTGCGGGTGGCGGAGTGAAACTCTCCTTGCCTTGAATCTCCTGAAGAATCTCCACCTGGACGTGGGGCAGGGGGTGAATGGGATATAGTAATTTCGTTTAGAGTCAGCTCAAAAAGAATCTCCTCTGGAGGAAGGGCAGGGAGCGAACAGGGGAAGAGAGAGAGGAGTGTTTGGAAGACATGTGAGAGAATGGGGAGTAGATGTCCTTTCTGCCTCACTTGACAGATACCTCAGCAACCTGTTGTTTTACCTCAAAACAACCTGCCGTTGCACCTAGAAGCAGTCTGCTGTTTCACCTGGAAATAATCTGCTGTTTCACCCGGAAATATTCTGCTGTTTCACCTGGAAATAATCTGCTGTTTCACCTGGAAAGATTCTGCTGTTTCACCTGGAAATATTCTGCTGTTTCACCTGGAAATAATCTGCTGTTTCACCTGGAAATAATCTGCTGTTTCACCTGGAAATAATATGCTGTTTCACCTGGAAATAATCTGCTGTTTCACCTGGTAATAATATGCTGTTTCACCTGGAAGCAATCGCCGAAGGGCACTTTCTGGAGTGTGAGCACCTGCTCCAAACACGCCCACTGGCATCCCCCTGGCCGTCACCCTGGCTGCTGTTGCTGCACTGCTGTGTCATCTGCTGCACTGCTGTCACGGTTGGGGAGAGGGGCGGGACCTGGCCATGGGAGGCAAGGGAGGGAGAGGGGACAGGTGGGCGGGTCGCGGTTGGAGGAAGGAAGTTACTTGTGCCGAGCCCTAATTGCACCCCCATAGAGTTTGAGAAGCTGGGGACATGTGCGTGTGTGTGGTGCCAGCAGTGTGGGAAGACACGGGATGGGAGGGAAATTGCCAGCAGAGTGCACAGCAACAGAAGTTGCATGAGCTGGGAACGAAGGGTTGAAGACCAGGTAGGCTCACTCGTTTTCAGACGTCTCGAAACTCCTTCAACCGCTACTGACACCCCCCTCACCTGCCGAGAGAATCGGTACTTGATGCTGCGCTGGAGCCGAACAACGCCAGCCGACCCGCCTCCTCCCGCCCTGCAGTCCTGCTGGCCTATCTCCTCCCCCCCTGCACCGGCACATCCGCCCACTCGCTGATCTCCGCCCCCATCTGCCCTCCCTTCTCACCTGCCGAGAGAATCGGTACTTGATGCTGCGCTGGCGCCGAATGACGCTAGGCAATCCGCCTCCTCCCGTCCTGCTGCCCTGCTGGCCCGTCTCCTCCCCTCCCTGGACAGGTACAGATTCAGCCACCGGCACATCCACCCACTCGCTGATCTCCGCCCCCATCTGCCCAGCCTTCTCCATCATCCCAGCCGTGGCTGCGGGGTCCTCAAAAGTGCCCAGGAACTGCCCCACTGTTATCGGCACGCCCACGCGCTGCTCGTCGATCACCTCGCGCATCTCCACACCCACAAACGACCCCCACCATCCTCCATTCCCACCGACCCCCTTCTGGAGTCGCTCACCCCTTGACCCCTCCTCTCGCCCCCCCCCGGTCTTCTCCCCTTCCTCCTGCACCAAGGCCATCGCCCACTCCCACATTGCCCACTCGTTCCCCCTCCTCCTTAGCTCGGGCTAGCCGCTGATCAGTGGGGAGGTTGCGGTTGCGCCATAATGCAATGACAAGGCGGAAGGCCATGCTCGGCCGCACAAACGACTGGAATCGGATCTTCAGTCGCCCGGCCGAGTCCACGCCGTGCGCCGCCGCCCGGGTTTCCACCGCCCCCTTGTCTTTTTTCACATAGACGGTGACTGCGGGATTCAAGAGGCGCTTAAAAGTCGTCATGGATGACTGTTGGGTGCTGGAGGATTTCTGCACGGTGGAGGTCTCTTGGGAGGTGTTTTGAGCGGCGGAGGTGGGCAGAGCCGTCGAGGTTTTCTGAGACTTTCCCTCCTTTTGCGAGGGAGGGTCGAAGAGGGAGGGTGCATTCTCCTGAATCTCGTCGATGTCCTCCCAAAGGAGGGTAAACTTGATACGTGTGCCAAAGACAGATGAGTAGAAGGCGAGCAGACGCGGCGAGAGGAAGAGGCGGCCCTGCGATGGTTGGTCGGGCAAAGAGAAGGCGAGGGCGGGGGGGGGGGTTGGAGAGGAGAGGAGAGGAGGGTGGACTTGGTCCGCGTGCCAAAGACAGAGGGGTAGAAGGACCTAGGCTTCCCCGCGACACTAGGCTTCCCCAGGACACTAGGCTTCCCCAGGACACTAGGCTTCCCCAGGACACTATGCTTCCCTGGGACACTATGCTTCCCCGGAACAATACACTTCCTCGGGACAATACACTTCCTCGGGACAATACACTTCCTCGGGACACTACACTTCCTCGGGACAATACACTTCCTCGGGACACTACACTTCCTCGGGACAATACACTTCCTCGGGAAAATACACTTCCTCGGGACAATACACTTCCTCGGGACACTACACTTCCTCGGGACAATACACTTCCTCGGGACACTACACTTCCTCAGGACACTACACTTCCTCGGGACACTACACTTCCTCGGGACACTACACTTCCTCGGGACAATACACTTCCTCGGGACAATACACTTCCTCGGGACAATACACTTCCTCGGGACAATACACTTCCTCGGGACACTACACTACCTCGGGACAATACATTTCCTCGGGACAATACACTTCCTCGGGACAATACACTTCCTCGGGACACTACACTTCCTCGGGACAAAACACTTCCTCGGGACAATACACTTCCTCGGGACACTACACTTCCTTGGGACAATACACTTCCTTGGGACAATACACTTCCTCGGGACAATACACTTCCTCGGGACACTACCATTCTCCAGGACACTACCCTTCCCTGGGACACTACACTGACACTACACTTCCTTGGGACACGACACTGACACTACACTTCCTTGGGACACGACACTTGGCCGGGACACTATGCTTCCCCGGGCCACTTGAGCAGTAGGCGGTGTTGAGCATTGGGTAGTCTTGAGTGGTGGACGCTCTTGAGCTCAGGAACGCTGTGCATACATACTGCAAGGAGGAGCCCTACAGATGCACAACTGTGAAAAGCCCTACACATACCTGCAAGGAGATACTTGCTGTTCTACACACGCATGCACACCTGCGAGAGCAGCCCCTTCTTGAGGATGCAGGAGAAGTCGTTGATGAGGTACTCGCTGTCCGGCAGGTCAAACAGCCGCTGAAACGCCAAGTTCTTCTCCGCCGAGAACTCGCGCACGCCACCCTGGTGCGGCGAGGAGGAGAGGCGTGGGGGGGAAGGGAAGGGGAGAAGTCGTTTACGGGGTACTCATTGTTCGGCAGGTCAAACAGGCGCTGAAACGCCGAGTTCTTCTCCGCCAAGAACTCGCGCACACCCCCCTGGTGGGACGAGAGGGAGGGGGGAGGAAGGCATGGGGGGGGAGGGAGGAGGGGAAGGGGGGTGAAGTGGAGGAAGAGGGAAAGGCGGGGAAGGGATTGGTTCGACTCAAACAGGCGCTGGAAGGGCGAATTCTTCTCCACTGAAAATACAACAGCACGCCACCCTGGTGGGGAGTGCAGAAGGGGGAAGGAAGGCGTGGGGGAGAGAGGATGCAGGAAAAGGTGTTGATGCGGTACGCGAGTACGCGCCCTCTCCTGCTGTCCTGTCCGGCAGGTCAAACAGCCGCTGGAACGCCGAGGTCTTCTCCGCTGAGAACTCGCACATGCCACCCTGGTGGGGCGAGGAGGAGGGGGAAGGAAGATGTGGGGGGGAAGAGGGGGAGGGGGTGAAGGGAGGTAGGGACGGAGGGGGTTTAGGGGTTACAGTTGGCCACTCTCTTCTGGTCTGAGAATTCACATGTGCCATTCCTGACATGGCGATCTCTCTCTTGGCATGGCGATGATGAACAGACATGTGAGTGGTCTGAGAGCTCACATGTTCCACTCTCTTCTCTTGGCACGGAACTCTCTGTATTCCCACTTGCCCTCCCCCATCCCGTTTCCTTCTCGCCCTCCTCCACTCTTTTTGTGATAATCTATACGGTCTCACTTGAATCAAGGAAGTGAGAATTCCTTGATTCCGCTTCCTTGCTGATCCTCTCTAGCATCAGGGGAGGGCCAGCAGAAACAGAGGTGTTGTTGAGTCCCCCCTCCCTTGACGCTCCCCCTCCCCTCTTTCTTCGCCCACACATTCATCCATCCATCTCCTCACTCACCTTTGTGCTGATCATACATGACCTTATGAGGGGCTACTCACCTTCGTGCCCACTTTCTTGCTGATCTGTTTTTGAGGCGCCTCACTTTCCTTAAAAATAGACTCCTCTCTCACCTTGCGCCTACTTCCTTGCTGATCTTCTCCAGCACCAACGGAGGGCCAGCAGCATCCGATGTGTTGGTCAGCAGCACTCTGACATGGATCCGGGCAGCTTGAACTTTCGCCCGCCTGCCCTCCAGGGCACCCAGAGGTCCGCCAGGTCCTGCACGGACTGCCGGAGGAAGTTTATTTCTGCCGGGCCGAGCAGGGAAGGTTCCGAGAAGGGCCCCATCGTAGTTGAAGATCTCGATCTCGAGAATGGAAGCGCATCCTCAAAGGCGTCGAACTCAAGCACCTCTGCTCGGGGCGGAGGGGAAGGGGGGGAAGCACGGGGGGGGGGAGAGGATGCGGAAACGATCTGACTCCAAAAGCCAGTTAAGTAGTGGAAGCGCATCCTCAAGGCATCAAACTCAAGCACCTCTGTTATTGGGGTGAGGAGTGGAGGGGAGGGGGAATGGGGAGGGGGGGGATGGGGGAGGGGGGGGATGGGGGAGGGGGGGGATTGGGAGGAGATTTCGTGAGTCCAAGTCAACAGTCCTTGGAGAATGGAAGGCGCATCCTCAAAAGGCGTGGAAATCACACACCTCTGCTCGTGGGGGACGGGAGGGTCAGACAGAGGGCGAAGCAGGAGGAGACTAACCACTGGGCTGGAAGGAGGACTAAAGAGAAAAGAGATGGCGAAAGGTTTCTTGGAACGCGCCCCAACCCCCCTCTCACCGCTCCCATTTGGGGTGTTGGTCTGCAGTTTCACAGTGCTGGTCCTTAACGTGCCATGGCACGTGACCACCACAATCTAGGTGTCTAAGCTCTCAAACACCCCTCCCCCCTGGCTCTCACCGTTCCACTTGGGCCCATTCATCTGCAGCTTCACAGATCTGGTCTTAACGTGCCATGGCACGTGACCACCACAATCTAGGTGTCTAAGCTCTCAAACCACCCCCCCCCCCTCCCGCTCTCACCGGTTCCACTTGGCCCATTCATCTGCAGCTTCACAGAGCTGGTCCCCATTCATTCCATATGAGTCGACTAAAAAGTACCGAGTCCCTAAGTTCTCAACCCAACCCGTCTCACCATTCCACTTGGACGTGTTGATTTGCAGCTTCACAGAGCCATGAGTGGTGTTTGTCCTCAACTTGCCGCTGCACGTGACCACCATAAGTGGGTCCGCTTCCACAACCACTCCCGAGTCCCCTAAGTTCTCAACCACCCCCCCCCTCCCCCTTTCCCCCCTTACCCCCTCACCATTTCCACTTGGCATATTCGTCTGCAGTTTCACGGAGCTGGTTCTCGACTTGCCACTGCACGTGAACACAACGAATGGATCTGTCTTCACGACTAGCCCCGAGTCCCCAACGTTCTCCCCTCCCACCAGCGACACTGTGAGCAGCCAACCCTCCCCCACTGCCTTCTTGCCGTGGTCGCCCTCTGAGAGGAAGGAGAAGGGGGAGGGGGAGGGGGGGGGTTAAGGTGTTAAGCAGAGGAGAGAGGAGGCTAGTTGGTGCTCTGTGAGAAGTCCTTGAAGGTCATTGCTACCGGGGTCACTCACCCTTGCTGCCGCATCACTCACTCTTGCTACCCCTGCACTCACTCTTGCGACCCCTGCGCTCACTCTTGCTACACCTGCACTCACTCTTGCTACCCCTGCACTCACTCTTGCTACCCCTGCACTCACTCTTGCTACCCCTGCACTCACTCTTGCTACCCCTGCACCACTCTTGCTGCCCCTGCTTTCCCTTTTAATGTATCCAAGCACGATAAGACCCCTAGCCATGGCAATCACATGCTCGGTTGCAGCCAGAATCCCAGTACCCCACCCCAGCTCCAGAGCGCATCGCTCACTCTTGATATATTTGGACACAAGCAGGCCTCTTGCCATCGCCACCACGTGCTTGGTTGCAGCCAGGATCACGGCACACCACACCAGCTCCAGAACGCTATCGGGTAAGTCCAACAACGGAGCCGCCACCCCGGCCCCCCTCGTGCCACCAGCACCAGGTGCACCGGCAGCAGCACCGCCGCAAGGCAAAAGATAACCAGCGCAGTGGGCCAGCCGCCCGGACTGCCGCCTCGGCGATTGCGGTTTTTGAGGGGAGGAGGTCGGGGAAAGGCCGAGGAGGGAGAGGAGGCGGGCGAGTGGGGAGGAGAGAGGAGGGGGGGTGGAGGGTTGGTCGGGAGAGAGGGAGGTGGGTGGTGGGAGGGATGCGAGAGGGGGACGTGCCTGGAGAGGACCTGCGGGTGGTGGCAGGCAGGGGAGGAGGGGAGGAGGGGAGGAGGGAGGAGGGGAGGGGAGGAGGGGAGGAGGGGAGAGGGGAGGAGGGGAGGAGGGGAAGGGAAGCAGGAGAGTGGAAGGACCAGATGGGAAGGATCCGGGAGACAGATGATGAGGGGAGACAGATGATGAGGGGAGACACATGATGAGGGAGACAGATGATGAAGGGAGACACATGATGAGGGGAGACACATGATGAGGGGAGACACATGATGAGGGGAGACACATGATGAGGGAGACACATGATGAGGGGAAGAATATGTCAGGTGGGAGCCAGGCCATGCGTGGGGCTTAGCTAGACAGAGAGCTGCGTCTGAGGGAGGTGTGTCTGAGGGAGGTGTGTCTGAGGGAGGCACACAACGTGGTGCACGCACGGTGAGGACAGTGGCAGGGCTGTCCTTGACGCCCCGTCCTCATGCCATTCTCGATCATGCTCCTCATCATCGTGCTCTGCAGGAAGTGTGGCTCAAAGGTTCCTGAGGCCCCTCAAAAAGCACTCACTGAGGGGAAGGTGGCGCACTCACTGTTAGGAAGGTGGCGTAGGAGTCCTTGATGCCCGTCCTCATGCCGTTCTCTATCATGCTCCTCATCATGGTGCTCTGCAGGAAGTGCGGCTCATACGACACGCGCAACTGCGACTTCAACCCCCCACCGGCCGTCCCCCCTGCAGGCGGCGTCTCTCTGCTACTGCCAGCACCACCACCACTACCGCTGCCACCACCGCCACTGCCCTCTGCCGCGTTTCCTCCTCCTACTTCCCCCCCCTCCCCCCTGCGAGCGGCGTGACGCAGAGCTGCATGCGCGTTTCAAACGTGCCCCCATACGGCACGTCGGGCGTCCTCGCAGTGACTGCCACCAGAAACCCCCTGCGTCTGCCCTCACGCACCGCTGCTCCTCAGTCGCCTGCACGGACTTGACCAGGGAGGACGGCGCGGTCATGTACGATACAGTGCGGTGCATCACGGTGCCATCCTCTTCCCCCTCCCCTGCACCCCCTCGGCTAGTAGCAGCAGGGGGGGGCGGGTTGTCTGGGGGCTTGTAGTCCTTGTGGGCTGTGCTGCGCGTGAGATTCGTTGAGCTGGGAGTGCTGCTGCCACTGCAGCCGTCGTCAAAGAGCCATGGTCCAGCGTTGAGTTGGGTTAGCTTGCGCTCTGGTCAAAGGGAGCATGCGGGGTGACGGGAGGGGAGGGGGGTGGGGGGAGGGAAGGGGGTGAGGGGAGGGGAGGGGGTGAGGGGGGGAAGGGGGTGAGGGGGGGAAGGGGGGTGAGGGGAGGGGAGGGGGGTGAGGGGGGGAAGGGGGGTGAGGGGGGGGAGGGGGGGAGGGGGGGTGAGGGGAGGGGAGGGGAGAAACGGGAACAGGGGAAGGGAGAGGGATGGGGGCGGGAGGCAGCAGGAAAAGGGTAGAGAGATGTGACAACGGGGAGAGATTTGACATGCCCCTCATCCCCCTCATGACCCTCATGCCCCTCATGACCCTCATCCCCCTCATGACCCTCATGCCCCTCATGACCCTCATGCCCCTCATGCCGACTCACCACTGGCAAACTCTTGGAAGAACGCAGCGTCTGGCTTGAAAAGTGTCGCAAAGAGCACATGGGGAGCCGCATCGAACGCCTGCTCCAACACCACGCCTCCCGCCAGCGCACCCGGCATGGGCCCCTTGGATAGCACGCCCCTCATGTCCTGCTCCCACCAGCTCCCAGGTACCGCCACCCCTCCCCCTTCCCTGCCACCTCCTCCCCCGCCCTCCCCCCCTCCCCCTCCACTTGCCTCCTCACCCGCTCCTAAAGTGCCCCTCCGCCTCCCCCCTTCCCCTTCCCCCTCGCCCTCCCCCGCCTCGCGGAAAGACGCCGGGGGCGTCTTGAGCGTGGGGTGCTGCATGGCTTTCACCACGCCTGACTCCCTGGCTTTAGCCACGCCGCTTTCCACGGCGTGGCCGAGCGACTTGAAGGCCGATGCGGCCGACGCCTTGGACGCGTGCAGCCGCTGCTTCAACTGCTGCAGCTGCTGCCGCTGCTGCGGGTTGGGCTTTAAGGACTCGGATATCGTCTGCAGGATCTGATGCCGCGGTTTTGCTGCTGCTGCTGCTGCTGCTGCTGCTGCTGCTGCTGCGGGCATATTCTCGCCTTCCTCCTTCTCTGTACTCTGAGAGTACGGGGTCTCCCCATCGTCTTCACTTCCCCCCTCCCCGTCCCGTTCCCCTTCCCCTTTAGCCAACCCCTCTCCCCGCCTCTCCTCCCCCGCTCCGCCCCCCACTTCCGCCTCCTCCCCCCCATTGGCGGAAGGGGGCTCGTCCCTTTGACTGCACGTGGGGGGAGCGCCAGCTGTGACTGTACCGGATGCGCCTGTATGGCGACGTAGGGCGGGCTTCAGGGGGGGGGAGGAGGGCGGAGCGGAAGCGGGGGGAGCGGCGGAGGGGGGAGGGGCGGAGAGAGGGGGAGCGGAGGCAGGTTTAGGAAAGGCGAAGCTGAGAGTACTGATGAGGGCGGGGGGAGGCGCGGGGAGGGGGGAAGGCGCGGGGTTGGGGGAAGAAGAGGGAACGGGGGAAGGCGAGTGGTCGGGGGAAGGGGCGGATTGGGGAGGAGTGGGCGGAAGGACGGGGCTGGAGGGGAAGGTGGAAGGGGAGACGGATTCCGCCACTAACGACGAAAATCCCCACAGGCTGGCGGAAACGAGAATGTCGCCTGAAACCGTCGCGCGCGGTCGCACGGGTCGGTTCTGTAACGGTAACCACGTCGCCTGGAGCTCGTGGCCGTCGCACGCCATCACCTGTCGCACGGGCAGCACAAGCTGCCCGAGAAATTCCTCCCCAATAAACACGCTCTTATCCCACACCGTCACCAGTAGCTCGTCTTTTTCCGCATCGCTGACCGAGAAGAGAAATTCCTCCTGCCACGTCGGATCGTTGTCCTTCGCTACAGTGCTGCTCCGCGCCTTCGAGGCGCCCATCTGGAGCCGCGCGAACGCGTCTCGAGCGCCGCCATTGTCCTTCGGCGGCAGGCCGCGCGCCTCGAGAAGCTGAATCTGAAGCTTGACGCCCATTGGTCGAACTCGAGCTCGCTATCGGTATCGCTAACGCTACAGCGGGACAAGACTGCTAGCGCGACATGCGGTGCGGTGCGGACACGTCAGCGACGCATCGCGCTGGTCTGATTCGGCGTTGCTTCGTCAGTCGGCGCGGTTAAGTACCACCTTTCCGGAACGCACAGCGCAGCACGTGACGGGGAAGGGTCCGAAAATGCGGGGCTGCTTTTGAGTCAACTCAAAAGCAAATGCGGGGCTGGCGGAGGGCGGATGAGGGTGGTCGCATGCTAATGCTCCGACCCGCTGAGAAGCGACGGTGGTCTGAAGGTTGCACGGAAGGTGGCGGATGCTTTGGCGCTGTCGTTAAATAGCGGAGACGAGAACGGCGGGTGTTACTCCTGGGAGGGCGTGGAGGAGGGCGCGTACTGCGGCGCCTTTCGCGGGAGAATGAGACAAAGTGATTGACTTAGACTCTCTTCTCTGGCTTTTGGGGTCACCTCGCCTCAATGTCTGCCGCTCGTTTCGGTCAAAACAAAATTCGCGCACTACAGTTCGGTATGGAAGCGAAGGGGTGCGAGTAATTATCGAGGGGTGGAGTGGAGTGGGCTGAGGTGAGGTACGGTGGGGTTGGGTGGGTTGGGGAGGGGGAGTGAGGCGCAAAGCTGCGCAGCCCAGCTGGCGGTGACGGTTTGTGCGGGGGGCAGGGGAGAGGTGCGCACAGAGCTGCGCTGGTAAGAGATTTTGATGGGTTGCGCGGGAGGTGAGCGCGAAAAGAGGCGCAAAAGGGTCACCTAGTCCAACTGCAAGAATACGCGCAACGTGCTGATTCGATAAGTCGAGGGTCACCTGCGTCGTCGCTTTCAAAATCGTAGCTTTGATGCGGTAAGCTAGCCAACAAGCGTCCTTGAAATAAACCTACCTAAATTACGTACGTATACACAAATGGACGAACTTGATTGAGCAGCCATAATTACACAATATTTCCAGCACACCGAGCCAAACAATGCCCCCTGGTCAAATCAGGCCATACGGTATCTTTGTACTTAAAGCGAGGATCTCAAGAAGCACGAAACCAAATCCATAAGGTTTGGAATTGGGTTGGCGAATGAGCGAAACTGTAACATCGGCCCCCCAACACCCCTCACTACACCTCGCAATTTTCACGACCCCCCGAAACCAAAACCTTTGGGTTTGGTTTTCTGCTTCTTGAGATCCTCGCTTTAAGAGTAAGGCTATACATTTGTGAAGCAAAGCCATCCCAACATGGACAATCCCCACATTCAAACACACAATTTTCGAGATGGTGGGAAGCGCCCAATTCTAGGGGTTCATTTTTCCTACCTCAACCTTCAATTTTTACATTCTTTTTGGTCCAATCGGCAATCAAATCCCGGACCACGAGGTTCGGCATGAGGTGTTTGTGTGGCAAGGGCTCATTGGTCATGGGGGAGAGGTCAGTTCGCTCCAACCACATCTGAATGGCCGCCTTCTCGTACGTGTAGCCGTCCGCTGCTAGCACCGGCTCCACCATTATTTTCTGCTTTGAGAAGAGGGGTGGAGGAAATGGATAGCTTTAGGAACAGGAACAGGAACGTGAACAGGAACAGTGCAACATTCTCTTGCAAGCCCATGCTTGTGCTCATGCTCTCACGAACTCCCCACGCAACTTGTTGATGGGGCACAGCAACCCCTTGGCCCCATCCCTTCTTTGAACCCATTTTCCCCTCCCTTTCCTGTCCTCCTCTGGCCTTTCCTCCCACCATTCCAAGCTCAGCCCCACCACGCACCTTGTTGACGGGGCACAGCAGCCCCTTGGGCACATCCCCACTCCCCCCCGACCGCCCACCCTCCTTCCCTGCAGCTTCCTCTGCATCGGCCGCCTCGTCCCTCGCGCGTGCTAGCAGCGGCATCACCTCACTCTCAAGGTCCGGCCGCTTCTTCCTCCGCATCTCACTGCACCGCACTGCCATCCTCGCCACCTCCATGGCCAACCCTATTGGCCAATCGCCCGCCTTCTCGTCCAGAAGTTTCCTGAAAGCTTCCTCATCGTCCTCATCCACCGCCTCTTCTAACTCCTCATAAGTGGTCGGCTTGCGCCCCGTCAGAATATCAAATAAAATAATCCCGAGCGCGTACACGTCCGACTTCGGCCCGTAATCCCCCGTTCGTTGAAACTCCGGATCAACATAAGCCAGAGTCCCCACTGGCACCGAGTCGTGCGCGTGTGTGTGGATCTCCGACCCAGTCCCCGGCATCAGTTTCGCAAGCCCCACATCCCCGAGCTTCGCCACTAGGTTCTTGTCGAGGAGGATGTTGGCGGGCTTTAAGTCGCGGTGCACGATGGGGATGGGGCGCGCGTGCAGGATGAGGAGGGCGGAGGCGACTTCAGCGGCGATGCGGAGGCGCGCGAACCAGGGGAGGGGCGGGGAGTTGTTGGCGCAGAGCAGGCGCTCCTCGAGAGTTCCGCAGGCCATGAACTCGTACACTATGCAGTGGCGCGCCGGGCAGCACCCCAGCAGCATCACCACGTGCGGGTGCTGGATCTGACTGAGGACCTCCACCTGATGTTCAGGTGTCCAGGAAGAAGGGAGAGGAAGAAGGAAAGTGAGAAATGGAGTGATACACACGGTGCATTGGCCTGAGGAGCACCTGACGACCTGATGGATGGAGGAACGCATGGGAGGGATGTGGGGAGGCAAGGTGACAAGACAACGGGAAAGGGACAGGCATTGGTTGTGGCCTTCAGCACCTCGAATCACCTCATTTTGCCCCCCCTCACCTCCTTGTACCCCTCACCACTCCTTGCGGCTCATGCTGTCCCTTTGCCTTCTCTCGAATTGCCTTTGCTTTCCCTTTGCCTTCTCTCAAATTGCCTTTGCTTTCCCTTTGCCTTCTCTCAAATTGCCTTTGCTTTCCCTTTGCCTTCTCTCAAATTGCCTTTGCTTTCCCTTCGCCTTCTCTCACTCCTGCTGGAACTCGTTGGTCGCCTTGACCACATCAGTCGCCTTCAGCACCTTCACTGCCACACATGTGTGGCACATATGGTGCAGCCGGCCACCGAATCACCTCACCTGTTGCCCCACCCTCGTCGCCTGTTGCCCCTCACCTCCTGTTGAAACTCGTTGGTCGCCTTCACAACATCAGTCGCTTTCAGCACCTTCACCGCCACGCGTGTGTGGTGCAGCCGGCCCCCATACACCGTGCCAAAGGCACCCTCGCCCAGCCGGTTCTTGGGGTTGAAATTGTCCGTTGCTGCCTGGGAGGGGGAGGGGGGGGAGGAGAGGACGGACGGGAAGGAGGAGTGGGGGAATGGAGTGGGGGCAACCAAGTGCGGTGGAGCCAGCCTCCGTACACCGTGCCAAAAGCAAAAGCGCCCTCGCCCAGCCCATTCTTGGGGTTGAAGCTATCCGATGCTGGCTGGGAGGGGGAGGGGGGGAGAGGAAGAGATGGAGAGTGTGTAATGAGTCGACTCAAAAATCGACTCATTGCACCTGGCTGGAAGGGGGAGGGGGGAAGAGGAAGAGATGGAGAACGGGCAGGAAGGATGTGAGAAGAAACACGCCATGGATCTCTACACACCTAGCGCACGTATATGGGGATAATGGGGATAATGGGGATAATGGGGATAATGGGGATAATGGGGATAATGGGGATAATGGGGACATGGGAATATCGTGCCACGTGTATTTTTCCAAGAGGCAAGAGCACATCCGCCATAACACATGGAAAATAGGCGCACCTGAATCTCTTCATAGCTGTACACGCGGTATTGCCCTCGGCCAATCACATGCTTCGCAGCCGCAGCCTTCTTACTCTTCCCTTCCCCCTCTCCTCCCTTCCCCTGCGGCTCTCCCTTCCCCTGCCCCTCCCTCTTTCGCTCTCCACCACTCTCGCCCACACTCCCACTGCTGCCACCACCCCTGCTGCCACTCCCACTGCCATTGCCACTGCCACTGCCCCTGCTGCCACTGCTGCTACCACCGTCATTGCTGTTTCCAATTCCCCTGCCCCTGCCACTATAACCACTTGCATTCGCATCCTTTCCAAAACTCCCCACCAGACTCAGCCCTAGATCGAGCTCACATCCATCTCCCTCCTCCCCCTCCTCCTCCTGCCTCTCTCCCATCTCCTCCTCCCTCCACTCCTCCTCCTCCCTCCGCTCCTCCTCTTCCCCCTCATTTCCTCTCGATCTACTACCGCCCCTCATGGCACTTATGGAGCTCTCCCCCGGGCTAAGCAGGTCGATCTGGAGCTCTGACATGGATAAAGACAGATCCACGTCACCATCTGGATTCTCCTCTGCCTCTGTGCCGCCCGCTTCGCTGTCCGGCGAAAACGCGCTGCTGCCGCCCATTCCTCTGTCTGCAGAAAACGAGCTGCCGCCCAGAAGGTCCACCTGGAGATCGCTGCAAGAGGCGTCAAACCCGCCATTGAAGGAAATGTTGCTATTTGCGGAAACCTTTTTAGTCAAAGCACGCTTGCTGCTAGAGGCTGGACGGCTGTTTGAGACCTGGTACTGAGGTGAGAAGGAGGATAACGAGCCGAGGTCGAGGGTAGACCCGTCTGTATACCCCACCACCCCGCTACCTGATGCACTCAGAATGTCAATCTGTAACTCCTCCTCCTCCTCCTCCTCCTCCTCCTCCTCCTCCTCCTCCTCCTCCTCCTCCTCCTCCTCCCCTTGCTCCTCCTCTTCCTCCTCCTCCCCTTCCTCCTCCCCTTCCTCCTCCCCTTCCTCTCCACTCTCCTGCTGCTCCTCATCATCCCTCCCCCTCCCTGACTCCTCCCATCTCGACCGTTCCCTGGCACTTTCCTCGAAGCCGGGATTCGGATTGCCCCCTCTCCTCGCTAGTCTCTGAGCTGCCGCCGCTGCCGCCGCAGCCGCTGCTGCAACAGCAGCAGGCGACGAGTCAACTGCCCCGTGCATGGCGCCTCTGCCGAGTCTCCCTGACAGCCCTGACTGCTCCCTTCGCCTTCCTGTATCCCCTCCCCCCCGCGTTCCTCCTCCCCCTCCCCCCCTTCCTCCGCCTCCTCCCCCTCTTCCCCCTGCTGCTGGCACTGTTCTTGCCCCTCCTCTCCCACCTCTCTCGTCCGCATTCGTTCTGCCCGCTGCCCGGGCCAAGGATGCTTCCACGGAGGCGAGTTTCACCCGGGCAGCTTCAAACTCTTTCTGCGACTGCTCCAGCTCAAATTGGTACTGAGACTGCCCGTTCCCCTCCCCCTCCCCTCCCCCTCTCCTCCCCCCAACCTCTCCCCTCACCTGCCCTACTCCCTCCTCCCCTCTCCCTCCCCATGGGCTCGGCTCACCAGTCCCCTCGCCCCGCCCTGCCTGTGGGTTTACCCACACCTGTGTATGAGGCGCCTCAAATATAGACGTCTCCGAAAGAGACGGGTCAAAGCCCGGCCCCTCGCTCCGCCCGGCCTGGGCATTGGCCCGCATCTGCAGCAGCCGCCGCTCGGCGTTCAGCCGCGCGGTCTCTGCCT